CGTCGCGGTCCTGGGGGCGGCTAAGCGGCCGCCAAAGCTGCAAGAAACCAGACAGTTTGAAGATAGCGTCAGTAACTCGTCAAAGAGGAACGCGCTGGATCACAAGCTTATTGCGGATCGTCCATAGGGTCCAAGCGAGGACACCGATCTCAAGCCACCTAATGTGGCGAGAAGACAAGGGGGAGGACTGGAGCTCGTCAAATAAGTCGGGGAAGTTGGTGTGACACCAATTTCCGCCCACCACGTCACGGAAACAACTCCAAACGAATCGCGCGGAGACGCAGGAGAAGAAGATGTGATTCGAGTCCTCGGGAACGCCGCAAAGAGGGCAGAGGCCGGATCCCGGGCCATTGCGCTTGCGTACCTCAACGCCAGACGGGAGTCGACCGCGAATCCACTGCCACATGAAGATCCGGATTTTCAGGGGCAGGCGGATGGACCACACCGTCACAAGGGGGGGAGGGGCGGAGGAGGGAGCGATGGCCTGATATAGAGACCTGGTGGAGAATTGCCCCGAAGGTTCGAGGCGCCATCTCACCCGGTCAAGGTCACTATCAACCACCGGTTTGTGAAGAGCAACGCAGTCCAGCAACGCACGCCAGGCGGCAGATTCCGGAGGGCCAAAGGGCCTCCGAAAAGCAAGGCGCCCAAGGTCAATAAGGGCCCTCTCAACCAAGATCAGGGGTTCTACCGCGATGGAGAAGAGGTCGGGGAAGCGTGCAGCGAAGGGGGAATCTCCAGCCCATCTGTCAAACCAGAACAGAGTCGCTGATCTGGAGCCCACCGAGATGGATGCCCCGATGCGAAGGACCGGGAGCAGCTGGACGACCGACTGCCAGAACTGAGAGCCACCAGATCTCTGACAAAACGCGAGGGGTTGGCCTCGCAAATATTTGTTCCGAATGATGTCAAGCCAGAGACCCCCCTGGCCCTGCGAAATCCGCCAGAGCCAACGGGAAAGGAGGGTGATATTCATGCGTTTGGAGCACATGATCCCGATGCCTCCTTGATCCCTAGGCTTCCAGATGCCAGGCCAGCTCACCATGTGGTATTTCTGTTTATTATGATCGCCGGCCCAGTAGAAGCGGGACTGAATTTTGGCAATCTCATGGTGCAGGGTCTCGTGGAGGCTGTAGAAGCTCATGAGGAACATGAGGAGGCTCGAGAGGGATGAGTTAATGAGAATGGTCCGAGCCACCTTTGACAGCCATCTACCCTTCCAGGGTTCGATGCGCGTTTGGAGTTTGGTTACGGTCGGGCGCAGGTCCGCGACGGTAAGCCGAGAGTCGCTAATGGGTGTTCCCAGGTATGTTGTGGGAAAGGCGCCGAGGCGGCAGTTGAGCCGGTTGGCAATGGCAAGCGACTCGGCCGGAGAGTAGCCCATCACCATCACATCACTCTTGTCGAAGTTTATCTTAAGGCCAGACATTTGTTGGAAGCAGAGGAGGAGGAACTTAAGGTTGGCGACATCCGACTCCGAGCCTTTGACCATGATAATGGTGTCGTCGACATACTGGAGGAGGGAGATCCTGGAGCTGCCAGCAAGGTGGGGAGTGATTCCCTGAATGTGGCCAGCAGCCTTAGCCTTATCTAGAATGGCGGCAAGTGCATCCACCACCATATTGAACAAGAAGGGGGAGAAGGGATCACCTTGCCTTACCCCACAGGAGGTGGGGAAGTAGGGCCCGATCTCCCCATTGATGTTCACGGCAGTACGACCGCAAGAGACCATCTGCATTACCCTGGAAATCCATCGGTCGTCGAAGCCCTTACGGAGCAATACTTCCCGAAGGAAGGGCCAATAGACCGTGTCGTAGGCCTTATGGAAATCAATCTTCAAGAAGACCGCCTTAAGGTGTTTAGCGCGCACCTCATGGAGGACTTCGTGAAGGACTAGCACCCCATCCAGAATGTATCGCCCTTGAATGAAGGCGGACTAGTTGGGGTGGGTAATCTGGTCAGCGAGGAGGGTCACCCTATTGGCGTACCCTTTAGCCAGAATCCGAAAAATCACGTTGATGACTGTGATTGGACGAAACTGACGAATGTCCGAGGCTCCCGGGACCTTTGGGATGAGCGAGATGATCCCATAGTTGAGGCGCCCGAGGTCGATAGACCCAACATAGAACTCTTCGAAGATGGCCATGATCTCCGGTTTGATCACATTCCAGAAAGACTGGAAGAATTTCACCGGTAGGCTGTCCGGACCCGGGGCCGAGGTAGGGTTCATGCCGCGGATGGTATCCCAAACCTCGTCCTCGGAAAAGGGGGCCGTAAGGACCGCGTTCTCCTCAGCGGAAACAAGCTGGCGGCCGGACCAGCAGTCGAGGGCCAAAGATAAACCTCCCCGAGGGGAGGCAGAGAAAAGGGTCCTATAGAATCCATCGATGTGAGCCCTGATGTCACGGGGGGATTGAAGTAGAGACTCCCCGTCCCAAAGAAGGGGAATGGTATTGCGTCTACGCCGACCATTCGCAATGGCCTGGAAGTAGGCCGTGTTCGCATCACCTTTCAGGACCCATTTCTGGGATCCGCAAAGGCGCCAGTAAGCCTCCTCGTCGGTGTAAATGACCGCGAGCTGGTCCTCCAAGTCGTACCTAGAAAGCCAATCCTCGGGCGAGAGACCAACCGCATCAGCGCACAAGTTGAGGGCCTGGATGGCGGACAACAAGGTCTTCTTGCGCTCGCGCAGGTCACGTCCCAGGTTGGCACCCCATCATTGCGGGCGAGATTAATAAATTTGAGTGCACGGCCTGCATCGACAACTGAAGCACCACGATACAACCAGCTGGATTCCCTGCCGCGAGTAGAAGGGAACTTGTTCAGGGGAAACCGGAGGAAGGAGACGGCGGGACCGGCGTCTGCAAACACATCACAAAGGAGGATGCCTCGGTAGTAGTCGATCCATCATAGGAAATGTTTGAAGGGAATAACGGTGTCGGTCTGCCAATAACAGAGCTGCGAGACATCATCGGGATCTTCAACGCCGAGAATTATTGGTATTCGCATGGAGTTCCATTTGTCGCCAAGTCCGAGGCCAGCTGATGTACTACTTGAGTACAACACGCAGACGTCGGCATAGACCTTATTATGGCGGGTAGGGTAAACGCCGAGCTCTGCCACCGCAAACTCTTCGCCTTCGCCTCGGCGCAAGAGGCCCATGGATCCGACGGTCAGCATCCGCCGCTCCTCCTTCTCGCTAGGAGGTCGACGAGGCAGGCGGCAATCAGCGCGGGAATAATCCGGGTATGGCTCCGTGCAAGCTGGGAGCGCTATGAGCGAGGAAGGGTTGTTGGCGTTGTAGACGAAAAAGTCCTGCAGCACCACCCAGCCTAGTGCCAGCGTGCAGGCACCGACGCGAAACAGGAAGAGATGGCGGTGGGCCGTCTGGATGGCTAAGGGCCTCTGTTTCGTGGGATCCGGGAAGCCGGGGAACTGCGCGTACATGCGGAAGATGAGCGGCGGCTCGGCAAGGCAGAAGGCGAGGC